GGCGGCCTCAGTAGCAGCCCCAATCCGAAACGAGTGCGAAGCATACAAAGACGCATCCAAACCAACATCCCGTAAACATTTCCGAAAAACCGACACAAATTGAAAACGAGTTAACGGGGACCCATCAGCATGCATCAAAAAGGACCCCCCTGCCCCACCGGACGCCGGGACAAAAATTCTCGAACCGCATGCACCGGGCACACTAGTGATCCTGGAAGGGCAAGAAACCGAACCCGCGCACCACGACCCCAGCGGTCCGTCTTAGACCGACGGATGAACACCTCCACCCAGTCGCCCGAGCACACAACATCATCTACCAACAACCCCCCAAGCACCGATTGGGATGGACTAACAAGCTCCCCAATACGCAACGCCCCAAAGAAGGCCACCGCAAAAGCCGCCCTAAACAAGCCCACTTCAAAGTCCGAAGAACAAACAAACCGCAAATGTGTAAATAAAGATCCTAACAACTCGAAGGACACCGGGCGACGAGAATCCCTACTGCGATGAGCCCTACGGTAACCCCGAATAGCCTGACGCACCCAGAAATCTTTGGTAAAAATCCCGACACCCTTGTAACTTAAAAAAGAAGGCCAAACCAGCCAACCGCCGATCCACCGCCGCAGCAGACACCCCCCGCTCCAAATTCCTCGCCAAATAGTACAGCAATGCCACACGCACCTCCGGCCCCCAGGGATCAATATCGACCTGTTGTAACAGGTCCAGCCACTCCCCGCCAAACCGACGAGTACGCAGACCATGTCGCCTCACTCACCGACCGCCGGATCCAGCCGGATACGACCCCAAGGCAATCTCCCACAGCCAGTCGGGACAAGGAACCCCACGGTGCTCCGCAGCCGGCGCCAACTCCCGGAATTTGTCCCACTGAAAACGAGACAAAGCGTCAGCCAAAGTGTTTGTCCACCCCAGGGAGATGCACCGCATGGATAAAAACATTCAGCTGCAGGCAACGCAACACTAAATGGCGAAGCAGGCCAACCACCGGCCGCGAGGCAGCCGACACCCGGTTGATGACCTGAACCACCCCCAAATTGTCGCAATGAAAACGAACCTTCCGATTCCGAAAATCTGCACCCCAAACCTCAACCGCCAAGACCACCAGAAAAAGTTCCAACAGAACCAGGTTACGAAGGAAACCCGCCGCCACCCAGGAAGGAGGCCACGGAGCCGCACTCCACCGTCCCTGAAAAAAAGGCCCCATAACCCCCGGAAGCCGCCGCATCCGTGAACAAGTCCAAGTCAAAATTGCTGACCGGGCCAGACATCCACAAAGCCCGTCCGTTAAACGAAGTCAAAAAAGTGTGCCAAATCCGCAAATCCTCCCGATGCTCCCTAGTCAAACGAATAAAATGTAAAGGGGAAGTAATCCCTGCCGTCGCCGCCGCCAACCGGCGGCAAAACACCCGACCCATTGGCAGGATGCGACAAGCGAAGTTCAGTTTACCCAACAACGACTGTAAGGCCCGCAGTTGAATTTTTCGCTTGCCGAGCACCCCACCAATTTCCCCTTGCAGGGCCAAAAGCTTGTCCTCAGGCAGCCGGCACTCCATTGCATCAGAGTCCAAAACGATACCCAGGAAAGTAATGACCGAAGCCGGGCCCTCCGTCTTGTCCAAAGCCAGCGGAATCCCAAAACGTTCAGCAACGTGCTGCAAAGTGGCCAGCAAAACGGCGCACACTCTGGAAGCTGGCGGACCCACGCAAAGAAAATCATCCAAATAGTGGATGACAGAATTGACCCCGGAAACATCCCGCACCACCCACTCCACGAACGAACTGAACTGCTCAAACAAAGCGCAAGATATGGAGCACCCCATGGGAAGGCACCTATCAACGTAAAACGAGCCCTCCCAATGACAACCCAAGAAACGAAAACTGTCCGGATGTACCGGCAACAATCGAAACGCGGACTCAACATCCGATTTCGCCATAAGCGAACCACGCCCATAACGACGAACCCAGAAAACCGCCGCGTCAAACGACGTGTAAGACACTGAACAGGACTGCGGATCGATAGCGTCATTCACCGACCCCCCTTTAGGAAAAGACAGGTGATGAATTAAACGAAACGAATTCGGCTCCTTCTTGGGCACCACCCCCAAAGGGGGAAACCACCAGATCCGAAAACGGGGCGCAAGAAAATGGGCCGCCCATACGACCTAACCCCACTTCTTTTCGCAACTTAACCGAAACAACCTCCGCATGCCGCAAGGCCGACCGCAAGTTCCGAGCCAAGGGGGGAACGGAAGTCAAAGTGCACGGGATGTGGAAACCCTCCGAAAAACCTGCCGCCAGCAGCACAGCGGCTGCCCGATCAGGATATCTATCTAGGAAAGGCTGCATCCTTTCCACCCTCACCGGTGTCGTCCCTCTTACCCGCATGCTCGCCGGAAGGGCCTCTGCCCCCGCTTGAAACAGCGCGACAACGGATGGGAGCCGCCGCAACCGGAACACTCATGCTTAAAACGGCAGGACCCTCCGAACGACAAGCGCTTTCCTGGAACTGCCAACAGAAGCCCCTACGCTTTGAGGCCGATTGTCCGGGGGAGAATGAACCACCGGCCCCCCCCTGAAAAAACGGACCAGGAGGCCTCGCTGGAGTCATGAGGCGCATCCAAAGACCAATGTCCTTATGGTCCCAACGCAATGAAGGGCGAACAGCCCGCCGCTGCCGAAACTGCTCATCATACCGAAGCCACGCAGTCCCACCGTAAACCCTGTGAGCCTCGCTAATGGCGTCAAGGTAACAAAAAAGCGCCGAGCAATGCTCAGGAGCCTTCTCCCCAATAACACTGGCCATGATCGCAAACGCCTGCATCCAATTTGCAAAAGTACGCGGGATAAAGCGAAAACGCCGCTTCTCCGCTTCCTCCCGCCTGCCCTCGTCAACCCGCAACCCCTCCAAAGGAAAACGCTCCAACGGCAAGAGCGTGAAGATCTCCACATACTCCCCGCTCCAAATCCGCTCCCGAACCTCCAACGGCAAGTGCGCACCTAAAGGGCCCTCGAAGCACACGTATACCTCGCACTTGGCCGAGTCCGCCAAGCCGACCGCTCCGGACACCCCCGCACCCCCATCCAAAGCCGTGGAACCCAAAGCATCAGATTCCGCCGCAACCACCGCAGGCCCAGAACCAGAGGGAGGAGAAACCCCCGATCTCCGCACGGCCCCCCCGTCCTGCACTCGGACTTGTAAACCGTCCCCACCAGCCGGCGGGAGCCACGCCGCAGCAGGCCCAGGGACCCCACTACCGCCCCGCTCAAGGCGCTGCAACAAGGTACGCAAACCTGAAATCAAATCGCAGAGCCCCCCCCCCCGCGACCCGAATCGGGAACGCCGACCTCCCGCACCGCCGAGGCCCCGCCCCCCAACAGGTCCCCTAGCGCAGAAGAAAAAGAAAAAGGTAACTCACCAGGCTGCCCAGGAGACGTCCCATCAGCCGCGCGACCCACGTCCAGCGATGCCGAGCGGCCAGCTGTCGCCCCCGCATCGGGTTCCGACAGCTCGCCCTCCGATCTCACGTCCTCCCCTCGACGGCCGGATGGCCTCCCAGTCCCAGGAGCCACGGATCCTCGAGCGCTGTGCCTCTGCTGGCTCCGCCTCCCGCACCAGCCACGCCCATCGACGTCCCTGGGGTCCGACCAGACACGCCCCCGGCAGCACTTCCATCCAGCCTGTGGCTCTTCGGAGCCGCCGCTCCACGCTTCCCATGGGGCCTGCCGGCCGCAGCAGGGGACAGCCCGGCAGCCGCAGCGCTGCGTCTCCCTCGTTGGGCTCCCTCCCTGACAGGCACCTGGTCAGTGGAGGAGCCGGCGACATCCTGCTTCCTCAGCCGCGCGGGCGGGGGGGGGAGGGGCTTCCTCCCCGCGAGACCCCCGCCCGCCGAGCTCCGCCGTTGCCGGGGATTCCTCCCGGCCTCCCCGCGAGCAGAGGCATTGAAGCGCCCTGCCAGCGGGGCCGGAGGGTCCCGAACGGGGCTCCCTGTGTGGCGCTGAACTCTGGGGGAGGGGGAGCCCGGACTAAAGCGCTCCGGAGGCCGAGACCTCCGAGCACGTGGGTGCACCCGCCCCTCTCCCGCTGGTGATGAGGCCGGGTCCTGTGAAAGACCCGGGTCCTGGGACAAGCCCGGGTCCTGCATGAAGGCAGACATCCGGCGCTGAGCTCTGGGGGAGGGGGAGCCCGGACTACAGCGCTCCGGAGGCCGAGACCCCCGAGCACGTGGGCGCACCCGCCCCTCTCCCTCTGGTGATGAGCCCGGGCCCAGCGATAAGCCCGGGTCCAGGGACACGCCCGGGTCCTGCAGGAAGGCAGAAACCCGGCTCTGCAGCCAGTCCATCCCATGAGAAGCTGCCGCCTCACGCAGCTGGGCCACCAAGCCATCCATGACAGCCCCCCAAAGACCGCAACGAGACCCCCAGGGAAAAAGGCCCTAACAAATGCTGGCGTTGGGAGGGAATGAATCTCACTCACCAACGTCCAGGTCCGAAATGATGCCTCCCCCCCCTGGGACACCCCACCCTAAGGTGCGGCAGAGCCCACCCACGCTCTCTCTCCACCAACCAGCACACCCATCTATCCTTTTCCACACCCCCCTGGCACATCATTAACCCTTTCTTATTCTCCTTCCCACTCTAGGCCTAGTCATGCCTGCCCTGCGCTAATTTTCCTTTCCTTTTTTCGCTACGGGCATTACTTTTTGCGCATTGCCTGTTCCAGCCCCAAAAGGGCTGCAGTTTGTATATGGTGGAGGGGGGGGGGGGGAAATGGATGTATATTTTCTATGTACCGATTTGTAACTTCTTATGAAAAAACTAATAAACAATACTGAAAAACAAATAATTGATAAACAAAAGACAAAAAAAAAACTAAAAATGAAGTCATATAATGAAATATCTAAAATACAATACAATAGAATATCTAAAGTCCTGCTACTGAAAAATGACCAAGTCCTGTGTAGGTTATGTGTATAAGTTCTTCCTTAGAATGTTACAGTGTGTAACTCGCTGCCAGTTGACAATAAGCAATAATAATCTGCGTCATCTTCTAACAACACTGACTTAATGGTTAAATATCCTGTGTTCTTGGAGGTGTCTTTGGATCCAGAGAACCGATCAGGGACCCCGGCTCCTTGGTGTTTGTCACTGTCACTTTTATATTTTAGCAGATAGCGGGGTCTGTCCCCTGTTTTCTGCTGAAACCAGAGCACAGTACGATCACCTATACTGAACCCAGTAAGTGTACAAGACAATGTCGCCGTGTCCCCAGGAGAGACTGATTGAGCAGCTGGCTGGGTCACACTCACCTGAGCAGCACAATCTGAAATACAGAAATAAATTCATATAAACAGTCCAGCAGGGATCACTTGTAATATGTACATTAATCTTCCTCTTTCTCCTATAGCTGGTCTCCAGCTTAGACATTAATAAATCCATTTCCCCTCTTACTTGTGCAGAATAATAGAGAGGTGATGAGTAGGGCAGACCACGACATGGTGCAGGTGACTCAGCCACAGATCTCTGGATTGTATTCTATCCCCCCTGTGTATTAAATACAGAGTGCAGACATCAATGTAAATGTGATCAGAGCTGATTGGACAATGCAGGCTCCTCCCTACACCTGTCTGTCTGTAGGATTATGTATAATAAACTATACATTGTACAACTATCATAATCTTCACAGCCCTCTTCAGTCATTGCTAGAAAGCATAGAACCCCCAAACATTTTTTTTTTAAGCACGGTATTTGTTCAGCGGTTTTTCAAATGCAATTTTTTTTTGGAAAAACTAAACTTTAATGAATTTTAATTCACCTAAACTAAATATAATACCCAATTTTTGGTAAAATATAAAATATGATGTTATTTCAAGTAAATAGATACCTAACACATCACACTTTAAAATTGCAGATTCTCATGGAACGTCGCCAAACTACGGTACATAAAATCTCCATAGGTGATGTCTTAAAAGCCTTTACAGGTTACCAGTTTAGTTACACAGGAGGTGAGATTATTGCCCTCGCTCTCACATTCCAGGCAATAAGTCACATGTGTGGTGCGATCGCCGTTTACAAATACGCGTGGGACAGACAAGTGCTTTTTCCATTGCACGCAAGCACAGTGGGACGGGGGTGCTTTCAAAATGTTTTATTTTATTTCATTATATATATATTATTTGAAAATTTTTTTTATACTATTTCTTTAATTTTTAAAAAATCACTTTTGATGCTATCACAAAGAATGTGAACATCCCTTGTGATAACAATAAGCAGTGACAGGTCATCTTTAATGAGACATCTGGGGTCTATTACACCCAAAATGTCTCATTTGCCCTTGAAAGCTTCAGATCAAACTCAGATCTGTTCAATATGAAGATTTTCTAAGCCAGCTATGGCCAGTAAACAACAGACCAAAATTGGAAGTGACAAAATGCATGTCACTTCAGGTTTCTGGCATCACGCAGTGTGAGTAACGACTTCTGTTCCTCCCACTGTATCTCAGGAACAGGATGCCGCTGGTCACATCCTTACCAGGCTCCCCAATCACATTGGACCCCTTCTGCTGCTTGTAACAGTAACTTTAGCCACTTGGATTACTTTTATGATTTGCAGAATTGTGAGTTGTAAAAAATATATCTCAGTTATCGCTGCAGCTGCAGCGATGACCGAGGTATCACCATTCCCATCCAAGGACGTTTGGGTACATCCTATGGATGGGAAGTGGTTAATGTGCACCTAGCACAAAGTACATACTGTATTTTCAGGATACACCGTGAATGCCAAGTAATGTGTAGGAGTAACACTAGCAGGTATTTGGTACCTCTAACAGAGATCACAGTGTTTTTGCCAACAGTAACAGGAAGATACTTTTCTCTTCATAAGGACAGAACCTTCTTAGTTCAGGAACTATCCAGAGTTTGAGATCTCTGTCTTGGATTGAGATGCTGCAAAGTCATCTAAACCCTGGTGTCTTTGCAGTTCTTGGTTGTGTTCACATACAGTATGTCTGACATATATGGAAGGAGACTAAGGAAATGCTTCTTCCCGCCTGCAGAAGACTGATGACATTATCTGAGCCTAGGCAACATCACAGGAGGTCAAGGACTGTTTTTTAATGATAAAAGGTTTCTTTTTTTACTGATTCTTTTGTTGTATAATTTGACAAGAATATGGAAATCAGAAATGTATTCATGTAGACTTTTAAAGTTACTTAATTCAGTTCCTCTAACTGTTTTCAGGGCTGCCCGGGAGCTGTTTTTATACCTGGTGGCCATGCCTATGCAGAGGTGTATTTAGTTTTTGTGCTGCCCTAGGCAACTTAAAAACTATGCGCCCCCCGCCCCTTTTCCAGTGAAAGAGAAGTTGCATGGTGACAGTAGCAACTAGGGTGTAAAAGGTGGTGACAAAGAATGGGTGTATGGGTGTATACAGTGTATTATGGGGGGTGATGGGGGAGCCATAGCTGTAGGAAGGGTGTGATGGGTGTAAGCAGGAATTGTGGAGTGTGATGGGTGGTGAGAGGTGTAGGAGGGTTTATGTGATTGGTGTATGAGAGTATAGAAGGGTGGGATCTATGAGATATGCTGGCAGGATATGTTGGGGTGTGATGGGTGTAATGGGGAGTGCTGGGTGATGTCAGGTCTCTGCAGGGAGTGGATGGGTGTATGCAGGGTATGGTGGGATGTAAATTCCCTCCGACTCACAGACTGAACTCCCCAGAGTGATCTCCCTCCCCCCACAGAGACTGCCCCATATACACTGATTCCCCCTCCCCTACAGACTGCCTCCATATACACTGATTGACCCCCCAACAGACTGCCCCCATATACACTGATCCCCGCCTCCCACAGACTGCCTCCATATACACTGATTGACCCCCCAACAGACTGCCCCCATATACACTGATCCCCGCCTCCCACAGACTGCCCCCCTATATACACTGATCCTTCACAGACTGAACCCATATACAATGATCCCCCCACAGACTGCCCTCATATACACAAATCCCTCCTCACAGACTAGCCCCATATACACTGACCCACCCCAACAGGCTGCCCACATATACACTGATCCCCCCAAGCACAGACTAGCCCCATATACACTGATCCTCCCAAGCACAGACCAGCCCCATATAGACTGCCCCCATATACACTAATCCCTCCTCACAGACTGCCCCCATATACACTAATCCCTCCTCACAGACTGCACCCATATACACTAATCCCTCATCACAGACTAGCCCCATATACACTGACCCCCCCCCCCCAACAGGCTGCCCACATATACACTGATCCCCCCCAAGCACAGACTCGCCCCATATACACTGATCCCCCCAAGCACAGACCAGCCCCATATAGACTGCCCCCATATACACTAATCCCTCATCACAGACTAGCCCCATATACACTGACCCCCCAACAGGCTGCCCACATATACACTGATCCCTCCAAGCACAGACTGTCTTGGACTAGGTCACTTACAGACCATTTACCGTGATCTACCAGTGAGCCAAATTAATATGAGAATACGTGCACGTGGAAGTAAGACACTGACACTTCGCAGTTTGCCAACTTCCTAAAATTCTGTTTTATTGAGGAACTAACAGTATCATTTATAGGGCATATGATGCAGGCAAAGCATATACATTGATTGGGTGAAAAGTCCACTGGGTTTCTACGTGTTCGTCCATCCGTGTTGATATCTTCCAATCATTGTCCTCAAAGAGACTCATTCCCTTTTATGGGGGTTGTTTACATTAAAAGATACTTTTCTCCTAATGAGTCACCTAGGGTGAGACTCCGGATGAAGGCGCCATCTTAATTATCATCATTGTTCTGTCAACCTATATCTGATTGTTTACAAGAGAGTAAGGAATTTTTTTTAAAGAGCAAGAATCATAAAGTAGCAAGACTATAAAATTGTCATTTTACTGATCATCTAATAAAACGTGGACTGTCTATCACAATCCACTACAAGACTAGCCCCATACACTGATTCCCCCCCCCCCCCGAAGCACAGACTAGCCCCACATATACTGATTCTCCCCCAAGCACAGACTAGCCCCATATACACTGATCCCCCCCCCTCAAGCACAGACTAGCCCCATATACACTGATCTCCCCCCCAAGCACAGACTAGCCCCATATACACTGATTCCCCCCCCCCCAGCACAGACTAGCCACATATACACTGATTCCCCCCCCCAAGCACAGACTAGCCCCATATACACTGATTCCCCCCCCCAAGCACAGACTAGCCCCATATACACTGATTCCCCCCCAAGCACAGACTAGCCCCATATACACTGATTCCCCAACACACACACACACACACGTTGCTGATAGGAACACCAACAACACAGAGTATGACAGTGATCATCGTACATTTCCAGCCTCGTCTCTGTGTTTACTTTCTCCGAATTCCCACCACTCCAGCAACCACAGGACTGTACTCCGGATCTTCTGCTTCCCCTCAGCGGCAGCCACTACACTGAGAAGGCTCACCGCACTGACACACTAAGCCCAACATGTCCCCATCCTCACCTCACCTGCCGACTTCCCATCGCTCCAGCAGCCGCGCCGCGACTGTACCCTGGATGTCCTTCTTCCTCCTTCTCCTCGGCGGCGGCCGGTACACTGGGAAGGCTCACCACACTGACACACTGAGCCCAACATGTCCCCATTTTCACATGTGTCCCTTTATCCAGGGGGTGGTGCCGCCCCCTGAAAAATGCCGCCCTAGGCAAACGCCATGTTTGCCTTGCGGTAAATACGTCCCTGCTGCCTAAGACCTATGGATAAAAGTGTATGTTATGCTTTGCACTTGTAACAGTTCTCCATTTGTATGAATCAGTATGAGTCAGGCCCAGATTGGCCATAGGGCACACCGGGTATTTTCCCAGTGGACTGGGGCTGCCTGGATAGGAGGAGTGTCTGGGCGGCACATAGAGGAACTGGACCGTGCATTACTCACCTGCCGCCACTGAATGCCTGCTTCTCCTCCTCTCCCTCCTGCAGGCATTTAGTGGCAGCACGTGAGAAATGCACGGTCCAGTTCCTCTGCCACTCGGCCGCCCCTCCTATCCATCTCCTGCTGCCTGGAGCTCATGTATGCTCCCCCGTGGCTGCCCCCTTATCTCCTGCAGTGCTGCCATTGGTTCTGTCAGGATAGACTGTCCCCAGTGCTGACAGTCCTCCCCACCACCACAGACGAGAGAGGAGAGTGAAAGACCTTTCTGCCTCTCCTCCTCCCACCATCTCTCTCACTTTCTTTCTCTCTCTCTCTTCTCTGTTTCTCTGAGGTTCTGTCAGGATATACTGTTCCCAATGCTGACAGTACCCCCTCACCACAGACAGGAGAGGAGAGAGAAAGCTGGATCTGCCCTCCGCCTCCCACCCTCTCTTCATGTGTCTGCCCCACCCACACTCCCCGCCAGTCTTGTGTCTTCCCTCCCCCCCTTCTTCATCCTTTCTCTCTCTCTTTTTCTCTGTTTCCTTCTTTCTCTCGCTATTTCTTTTTCTCTCTTTCCTTCTCTCTCTTTCTCTCTCTCCTTCTTTCACTCTCTATTTCTTTCTCTCTCCCTGTATACTTTTTCTTCTGTCTTCATTTAATTTTATTTCCTTCCTTCCTTTCTTTCCCTCTCACCAAAGCCCCCCAACAGGGCTCCTACAAAAAAATTTAAAAAAATAGTAAAATATAAAATTGTAAAAAATAAAATAAAAATAAATACCTAGTGGCAGAACTACCAGGGTCGCTCTTGCTACTGGGCCCTGGCGTTCCACCACCAGACTCCAAGGAAAGGGTCCCCGGGCTTGGGGTTGCTCGGTCCAAAGTGTTTCTAGATTTGAAGCCAGAAGGTTTCCCAGAATACCAATTTTCCATGATGACCATGTTTTGATGGCTACAAAGCCATTACAAAAGCATTGTTTCTTAGATCCTGTACCATAGCTGAAGATAAGTCCACATGCCACTGGAATATCTCTACTGAAAAAATAACAGGAATATTACTAGATACTCTGCCTGAGTTAATATTGATGTTGGAATCTTGGGACTAGTGCTATGTGCCATATAACAACTTTGATCAACGACCAGTGAGTTCTGTAGGATGGTCTACCAATGACTCTGGATAGCCCACCTGCCCTCCCCATTCTCCCCTCTTTGGTCTTTCTTTCTACTCCCATCCTCCTTTCCTCCTTTCTCTTTCTGAGAATTATTACTTTTTCTTGGCTGTCATTGAAGACATGTTACCATATATTTGTATATTCAAAACATAGAACATGCAGCGCTAGATGTTATGTGAAACCATAATAAGTTTAGTAATAAATGAGAATAATACAGTCCCAAATGAAGAGTCCTTAAAGACAGAAGTAATATATATCAATAGTGCTCCATGCAGTGATCAAAAAAGTCCACACGGTGGGCAAACTGGTCAAGTGAAGAAATAACAATTCCTTGTAGTAATGGTTTTATAATGCGCTTACCAGAACTACATACAAAATGCGCGTTGTATGTATATACTCTGTAAAGGACATCAGGGTCTGGTCACTGGTATGCTGTCATCAGAGCGCCCTAGCAGACTCCCAGAGAAGATAACAAGACACGCTCCCGGTCCACCTCAGGACTCACCAATGGGTCACCAATGGGTCCACCGTCGCTCAGACTCCAGATGTCGATCCACCTTAAGGAGGCTCGTGCAATAACAAGCCAGGGAGGCAAGATAGTGATGATAGTGTAATATAGCCTTTATTGAATAAAATCCAAAGTATTCAAAAGGGACACTCACATCAAAGTATAGTATCCTGTAGTCAATCCATATGCATCAAAAAAGTAAGTTCAGTAAGATCAGCGTCACATTGAGGGATCCCCCTGACATGTTTCGTGTAAATCACACGTTTTCAAAGGGGTGAATCCACTCAATGGGACGCCATGTAATAAAGAAACAGCGGCGCCTGCACAGTACACGCCTCGCGCCGCCGTTTGCGATCGCACATGCGCGAATGACGTCACATGCCACGACCGCGCATGCGCGAAAGGCGTCACACGCCGCGACCGCGCGCATGTGCGAATGATGTCACACGCCGCGATCGTTTGTACGCGAATGACGTCATTCGCGTACACACGATCGCGGCGTGGCGGATCGCGTGGTGGATGACGTCATGGCGTCCCATTGAGTGGATTCACCCCTTTGAAAACGTGTGATTTACATGAAACATGTCAGGGGGATCCCTCAATGTGACGCTGATCTTACTGAACTTACTTTTTTGATGCATATGGATTGACTACAGGATACTATACTTTGATGTGAGTGTCCCTTTTGAATACTTTGGATTTTATTCAATAAAGGCTATATTACACTATCATCACTATCTTGCCTCCCTGGCTTGTTATTGCACGAGCCTCCTTAAGGTGGATCGACATCTGGAGTCTGAGCGACGGTGGACCCATTGGTGACCCATTGGTGAGTCCTGAGGTGGACCGGGAGCGTGTCTTGTTATCTTCTCTGGGAGTCTGCTAGGGCGCTCTGATGACAGCATACCAGTGACCAGACCCTGATGTCCTTTACAGAGTATATACATACAACGCGCATTTTGTATGTAGTTCTGGTAAGCGCATTATAAAACCATTACTACAAGGAATTTGTTATTTCTTCACTTGACCAGTTTGCCCACCGTGTGGACTTTTTTGATCACTGCATGGAGCACTATTGATATATATTACTTCTGTCTTTAAGGACTCTTCATTTGGGACTGTATTATTCTCATTTATTACTAAACTTATTATGGTTTCACATAACATCTAGCGCTGCATGTTCTATGTTTTGAATCTGTTACTGAGGTGCTGAGGAATGCCTTTCATGCTAGCAGCTTGTCAATTTATTATTATCCTTACTTTTTTACTTTATTAATTTAGTTGCGCTCATTCAATCTGTTTTATATATTTATATAGTTAACCTCTCTCACCTGTAGTTCTTGAATTTTTTTCTGAAATAAAGTTATTGAACAAGATAAACAAATTATAGTGTCCAAAGGATTTGAAACCTCTAGGGGCCATTTACCTTTGTGTATCACATGTAAAACACACATGTTAGCACTTGTTATGTTGTGTATTAATGTAAGTTGCATTTTGATAGCCCATTAATTTGAACTAGATACCTAATGCATCATGCACACTGCAAGGATAATGCACCATGCACACTGCAAAAATGGTTCTAGAATAGTTTAAGGAACACAGCAAGGCATTTGAGGTGTTGATTTGGCCTCCAAATTCTCCAGATCTCAATCCAATACAGCAACGATACAGTTCAATACAAGAGGGTTAAGAGGGCCCTGCTCCTTGGAGCTTACAATCTAAGAGGGAGGGGCTGGTGGTACAAATGGTATTAACTGTGGAGGATGATTAGCTGAAGGTGGGATAGGCTTTCAGAGATCACCTAAAAGTGTGCAGAGTAGGATATAGTTGGATAGATTGGGGTAGAGAGTTCCAGAGGATGGGGGAGGATGTGGAGAAGTCCTGGAGACGAGCATGGGAGGAGGAGACAAGGGAGCTAAAGAGCAGGAGGTCATGCAAGGAGCTGAGAGGATGGTTTGGGTGATATTTGGAGACAAGATTGGTGATGTAATTTGGGAAAGACTTACAAATGGCTTTATATGTTATTGTTAATGTTTTGAATTTTATTTGTTGGGCAATGGGAAGCCAGTGGAGGGATTGGCAGAGAGGGATGGCAGATATGGAACGGTTAGAACAGTTAGTAAGGTGGATGAGTCTGGCAGCAGCATTTATGATAGACTGAAGAGGGGATAGCCTGGGATTAGGTAGGCCAATGAGGAGGGAGTTACAATAGTCAAGGCGATAGATAGCAAGGGAGTGAATAAGTTGCTTAGTAGTTTCCGAGGTTAAGAACGGGCGTATCTTGGAGATGTTGCGGAGGCGAAGTCTACAATATTTGGCAGTGATTGGATTTGGGGCTGAAAGGACAGATGAGAGTCTAGGATTACACCTAGTACCCTGGCATGAGGGGAGGGACTGATTGTTGTATTATTGATCTTGAAGAAGTCAGGGGAGGGGGGCACGGGCTGGAGGGAATAGTATGAGCTCCGTTTTGGAAAGATTTCATTTGAGGAAGTGGAGTGACATCCATGCCGATATGTCACTTAGTAGGTTAGTAATGCGAGAGGAGACTGAAGGGGCGAAGTGAGGAGTAGAAAGATAGATTTGTGTGTCATCAGCATAGAGATGGTACTTAAAGCCATGGGAGTTTGTCAAGTGACCGAGGGAGGAGGTGTAGATGAAGAAGAGAAGGGGTCCAAGGACAGAACCTTGAGGGACCCCTACAGAAAGAAGAAGTGGAGAGGAGGAGACAGAGTTATAAGTAATGCTGAAGGAGCGCTGCGATAGGTAGGAGGAGAACCAGGAGAGAACAGAGTCTCGGAGGCCAAGAGAGTGGAGTTTTTTTTTGAGGAGGGGATGGTCAACAGTATCAAAAGCTGCAGAGAGGTCAAGTAGTAAGAGTATGGAGTAGTGGTTATTAGTTTTAGCAGGTCATTAGTGAGTTTTAGTAGGGCAGTGTCAGTGGAGTGTAGTGAGTGAAAGCCAGACTGTAAAGGGTCAAGAAGGTTGTTGTCAGTGAGGTAGGAGCTCAGTTGATTGTAGACTAAGCGTTCTAAGAGTTTAGAGGTAAACTGGAGTAGGGAGATGGGTCTTCAGTTGCTCCGGTTAGTGGGGTCCAGCGAGGGCTTTTAAAGTATAGGAGTGATGTGTGTATGCTTTAGAGGGGTGGGGAAGGCACCATTAGAGAGGGAGAGATTGAAGATGTGAGTGAGGGAGCATAGGACAGAAGAAGAGGGTGACCGTAGTAGTTGAGACGGGACAGGGGGCAGGTGGTGAGACAGGCTTCTGAGAAAACTTTAGTGACCTCTTCAGTAGTAGCAAGGTCAAAAGAGGAAAGTGTTGAGGGTGGTTTAGTACAAGGTATGCTAAGTGGGATAGATGTTTGTGTAGCAGAGATGCCCCTACGAATTGCATCAATCTTGTTTTTGAAATGATTTGTAATCTCGTAAGCAGTGAATGAGGTACTGGGTAGAGGTGGAGAAAGTAGAGAGTTAAAAGTAGAGAAGAGACGACAAGGACTGATTGACAAAGTATTAATAAGAGTGACAAAGTAGGCTTGTTTGGCAGCATGGAGGGAGGAATTGTATGTTAAGAAAGCAGATTTATATCGGGTGAAAGCTTGGTGTGATTTGGTTTTACGCCACAATCGCTCCAGTGCACGGCTATGTCTCTTAAGATTTCTGGTGGTGTCAGTCTGCCACTGTTGTAATGGTCGGGGCCTGATGCTTCATGTTGTTAGAGGAGCAAGCGAGTCTAGTGTGGATGAAAGCAAATTGTGTAGACAGAAGTGGCCAGGTCAGGGCAGGACAGGGGAGAGATTCTGTCATAGAGGCTGTCAGTTGCAGAGTGGAAAAGAGAAGGGTTAAAGTTGTGAAGATTTCTGTGGGTAATTGTTTGCTGCTCTGATGGATAAGTGTTTGAAGACAAAGACACTGTGAAGGTGATGAGAGTGTGATCAGAGAGAGGAAAGGGGGTGTTTGTGAGGTTGTAGGGAGTGCAAAGATGGAAGTAAATAAGGTGTAATGTATTCCCATCAGAGTGAGTGGAGGACTGTATCC